TTAATGCTTTTAAAAGACTACTCATAATTTTCCAGAAAGGTATATCTTACATGGAGGCCCACAAGGAATATATAATAGACTTTGGGAGAAGTAGAAGCCAAGGAGATGGAGTCCTAAATCAAGGGGCTCACAGACAAAGTGTCCTTAGGAAGTTGGGTGTATCAGGTGAGAGGAGGACTTGAATGCTTACTTCTCTTTTAATTATCTGATGTGCTCACTCCCTCCTTTGTTACCTTCAGCCAGGGCTGATAAGAAAAGGCACCAATAAATATCCTGGCGGTCTGAAGGGAGAAGCCATGTTTCATGGGACTCCCTGCTTCTACAGCTGTTGTTAAAATATTACTGCTAATTAGCTGGCTAGTTATATATAAACCCTTACAAAGGAGTATTTTTACACAATCATAAAATAAATTAAACTACCAAAAATTCACGCTGTTAATTAAAATAACCCCTGTAGGAGGGGGGAAATCGCTACAAGGCTGAAGTAAACAGGAAGCAATTTCACAAGCACAAACTGATTAATTTTATTTCCCATTACATGTATTTGCTAATATCATCAGAATTAGGAAATAAAGCAATTTTGCCTTGACAGAGTTCTAACAGTGGAGGTACTAGCAGAGGGTACCAGCATCAGTAAGATACATGCTTGGCCTGAGGCAGCTCTTCTCAGTCTGGAAGAAGCCAGGGTGAGTTTCAGCAGAGCCTGGTCCCCAGGATGGACAAAAAGAAGGGGGCAAGACAGAAAGTAAGCATCTCCCCAGTCCACTGGAACAGCCTCATTGAATTCTGCGACCACTGGTGGCATGGCTGTGACAGTCACATCCCCCTTGTATGCAAACATGAAGATACCTGAGGACACAAGAGAAGCTCTATGCTGCAAAGAAGTGGCAGGAGGATACAGACAAGGGACTAACCTACTCTCGGTCACAGGAACGGCCCAGACAGTTTATGTCAATGTCTGACCACCAATGGCATGCACCTTCCACACACTTCTCCTGGCCCAGATGTTACATGTAGCTACACTTTTCCAAAGTTTATGTTTAATTCCTATACACAAATGATTCTCTGAATCCTTTGAACATCGTTCTTTCAAAAGATATCACAACTGGTTAATCAAAACCAGTTGTGATATATATGAATATATTTTCATACTTAAAAAACTTCAAGATCTTTGGGTCTTTGTCTGCCACCCAGGGTAAAGTCTTGACTTTAATTCCACTGAAGCCCCTCTGTAGGATAACATAGTCATCTTCCTACAACCAGTGGGGTCCAAACATTCTTCTGAAAAATTATTCCTGAAACCTCAAATACACTATTTTACAATCCATATGGTCAACTAGAAAAAATCTCAATCCTCTGGACCCATAATTAGCTTGATTATTTTATATGCCTTTGCTTGGGGTTTATCCATTCTTATGTCCTTCAAAATGCACCCACAGCCTAGGCCTTATTGAGAGCTAGTTTGATATATATAAGGACACCTGTGTTTTGTCAATAATGGGACACCAGACATCTGGGAGAAGTGACAAAACTTCAGGCCTTAGTCCAGATGTCCTATCTTTGTAATTTCAAACATTCAGATGTTTGGAGGAGAGGAGTTTAAAAAAACAGCATTTTATAAATAATACTCCACTTTTGACAAGGAAAATGAACTGATGTATGAACAACTCTAACAAAGCAGATAAAA